GGGGGGGGGGGGGGGGTCTTTATCGGGCCACAGTGCTTGACGCCACTGTACCTATTTCTTCTTTGGCTGCGGACAGAATAGAGCCCCCGGTCCTGTGCAACCCAGTTGGAGCCCTGCAATTATCAGCCATGGGAATCAGAAAGTTTGCATTGAGGAGAGTCTGTTCTCTTTTTCATGGATCACCTTGACCTAGCTTCTGGCCTTCAGATGACAGGTCCACTCTGAGGTTATGTCCTCAATGACCTATAAGTAGAGCTTCTCCAAGTCAGGCAAGGGGGTTGTGTGGGTGACCCCAAAGTTAAATCAAGACCTGATTCCTCCTGTCACTTGCAGCAACAGTGGCTAAAATGTAAGAGCTCTTGGTGCCTGCTGTAAAAATGTCTTGTTGCAAGCACAAATGTTTAGCTGAGGATGATGTGTACTTGTAGTCTATCATGGAAAGTATGGCTCCAGAGATTCACAGCTGCTCTTCTGCCATATGCCTAATAAGGAACCATGGCCATTAAGAAATAAAACAAATTAGCTAAATGAGAAAGACAAAAGAAATTCTTGCCGTTGATTGTTTCTTATTAATAAATCATGATCTCTTCTACTTTTTTTTTCTGTGAGATTGATTTTAAAGAGGCTTCTGAATCAGTGAGGCTCAGTAGTGAGTTTTAGGTGCTACAGCTACATTAAAAAAAAAAAAAAGGCCTGGTGCCTCAGCACGGTTGGGTCTTCCTACATTTTATTAAACTGAACCTTCCTTCAGCCTCGTTGTTGCTGCTAAATTCATCTGCTTGGGTAGACAAAGTGTATGCATGAATGTCCTTTCTTCTATATTATGTATAATATCTTTCCACTAGTCGAGTTCAGTTTCCCAGGCTTCAGCAAAATCCCAAGGGATGTCATCTTGAGGGAACGTAATATACATATTTTGGTAAATAAATAAACAAGCCAACAAAAATAATAAAAAATAAGAGTTCTCAAATTTACATAATTGTTGATAAAAGTTCCTCAATGAACCTTTTTGAAATACGATGAATGCTGTTCTTTGCATGTTTTTAAGTGGGAAATTGTGGGTGTTTCTGGGAGAGCGGAGTTCCAGCTTTTGCCCCTAACAAATTGTAGGCAAATAATATTTGGGCTGCAAAAATCCAGATGATTACTAGATGGTAGCAAAAAGATATAGAAAACTCTACCTCTCTAGCAACTTTACCTCTTGCCTTGCCTTCAAATGCTTTTTATTCTGAAGATAATTATTGCAAGAAAAGTATAATTACATATGTGGATATGGTGCATTCAGACTCCAGAAACAGATTAAAGACGCAGCAAGAATGATCCAGTGAAGGCTAAAATTTACTGTGGCTGATGTATTTACAAATTGCTGGAAGAACAGAAAGTAATTTTAAGAAAGGATTTTTAAAACAAATGACAGAATGTGAAACACTTATACAGAATCAAGATCACCTGTATGTATATGTATGTATTTATGTATGTATGTGTGTGCGTGTGTGTGTGTGTGTATATATATATATATATAAATGTATGTATATATAAATTGCTATCAAAATATGACATGGAGACAGAACAGATAATAAACTGCATGATAAAGTGGATGCAAAATTTTAAAGAAACAATTACAATATAACAATGAGAGGAATTATGGAAAAAATCAATAAAATTTATCCCAAGTTATAATTTAAGAGAAAATTAGTATAAAATCTTTTATAGATAGCATATAACTCCATCAATAATCACAAAAATAAATAAATCAGATAACAAGAAATGCTGGAAATGTGCTACATTGTGATGGAATGTATCTACGAAGAGGAGGGTGATGTGGTGGATAGCAACAGCAATCGAGGCTATCAGGACGGAGGGGGTGCAATCCAGGAAGGGAAAGGAGACAAAAGGCAACACAGTCCGCAGGGGGAGTGTGGGAAGCGAAAGAGATTCAGGATGGCCACTCCCTGGAATCTCCCAGGGTAGATCCACTAGTTGCAGTAGTATAGATTTAGTCTGGCAAGATTCTGCCTATATGGTGTAAGCAGATAATGGAACTGAACTCAACTGGACTGTTTCACCCTTGTTCTTGGGCTGGGCCTGACATACACAAGGAACATTTTATCATATGTGGTGCTCATGTAAAAAAACCTCAAAAGTACTGGAAGGAAATAAACAGCACATTTCAAAAAATCTTAAAAGCAACGCTTGAATACAAATCTCAAGTTTTTTAAAATTAGGAATTGTTCCAGAACATATGAATATAAGATATCACAATCTGTGAAGATATACGCTGATGGCCTCAGGGACAAATCTGGCTCAACATTGGAAAAGAGACACTTTCTGACAGTATTAGAACTGGGAAATCAGACTGGGGGAATATGCAGCAATGGCAAAATTAAGAGTGTACACCCAGCAGTTTGACTAAATTTAATCAAGAATTATTCACCTATATATCATATGTCCCCCAACATGGCTAATTCAGACATTTAGAGTATGATTTTTAAGGAGGAAATAATTGACATAAAGACAGTAATTAGAAGCAATTTCAATGTTTAGAAATATTTTAATGCAATTACCAGTCTGGTACAATGGGAGGGAATTTAGAACGATCTCATTTCTTAATACTGTTTTTACTGTTTTTTCTTTTTCTCATTCTTTCTATGATTATGTGCATTTATCCTTGGAACAATGATAATAGTTGTGATATTAACATCTTGTTGAGTCTTTTATAGAGATTTCTAGTTTTTTAAAAATGATATAATGTATGGAACTGAGTACATCTACCAATTAAATACTAAATTTAAACTCCCTTTTTACGTATATTTTATTCTTTTATCCATTATTTTTTTCCTTTTCTTCTTTTTACAGTTACTCTGTTTTTTTTTAATTAATCAAGAAAAAAGAAAGAAAGCTCTACCCCTCTACTCCCATCTAGTGGCGGTTTGTTTTTTGCAGCCCCAATCCAGGATGCCTACACACTAAACATTAAAACATAAACTTTAAAAAACGACAACCATGAAAATGAAATAAAGCCCTCAACTTGCCTAAAAGTGAGACATCATTGGAACGTTTTTAAGGTAAAAAAAATATTGAGCTCCTTGCAGCTTTTTAACCTTACTCGCTCCACTGAAATTATTCTTATTCTTATTAATAATAATAATAATAATAATAATAATAATAATAATAATATTAATATTATTCACAGACTCTATACACAGGTGCTGCCTTTCCTGCAATGGACTGTAGTTTGGTGGTTGTCACATATTGGTTCCTCTAGATCAACATTTCTCCACCTCAGCAACTTCAAGATGCATGGACTTCAACTCCCAGAATTCCCCAGCCAGCCTGGTCATTGGAGCGATTCCTGCATCTGAGGCAGAAAATCTTGTAAGTTTCCACCATCCTCCCTGTCTGTAAAGATGCAGCAACAATAGCATAAATAATTTCCTGATGTTTTTCATGACGCCCCAAATCAGCTGCCTTGCTTTTTCTAAAATATGACAAGAAGGAACTCCTATATATATGTGTATGTGTATGTGTGTGTGTGTGTGTGTGTGTGTGTATATATATATATACACACACACACATACACATACACATATATTTATACAATCTATATATATATATATATAGATTGTATAAATATATGTGTATGTGTATGTGTGTGTGTGTGTGTGTGTGTGTGTGTGTATATATATATATACACACACACACACATACACACACACAGTTTTTTACAAAATTGTACTTTTGTGACTCAAAGAAGGGAATAATTGCAAATGATCTGTTTCAAATCTTCCCAATCTCCACTGCTGGCAGCATTTATAAATTGCCATGATAAATTTTACATTTCTCCCGAGAACTAGCCATACAAAGAGTAGGAATATCACCAGATTCCTTGACGTATCCGCATACATAAGAAGCTCTGTCTAACATGGCCTCTTTCTCCGGCAAATGATCTGTTGTCTGCCTCTCTGCAGCTGTCTGTCTGCGTGGTTAAAATGTCCTCTTTTTTCCCAACCTGAGTGACAGGGAGAAAAAAAGTAATCAAGACTGATGTCAAGGGCACAGAAAGAACAATAACCAAGACTGAACGAAAGGAGTCAGCAAACAAGGGAGACTTGGGAGAAAAACCGAACGGCATCTTACAGAAGCAAACAATGCTGACAGGGTTGCTTTCTCACGGGAGCATTTTTGTTTTCTCCTGCCTACGGCGACCCAGGTGAGACTCAGCAGCAGGCATACCGGGCTTTTAAAGGCTCCTCCTCCTGTAATGGAATCATTGGATAGTCATTATGTGCTCTGATGGCAATAATGGCCGTGGAATTATTGGTTACTTTACAATCGTCAGCCTGCAAGTCAAACAAAGGGATCACTTCCTGCTTGCTGGGAGAAAGAAGAAGGAGGCCAGCTACATATTAACAGACATTACGGACCGAGATACTGTACCCAGTAGTGAAAGCTGGTTTCCCCCTGCTGGCCTTGTCCGGGAATGCACATCTCCAGCGAACAAAGCCTCATAAAAGGCATCTTTCTAAATGAATAGAACTCCTGGGATCATGGCAATAAGTAATGTGATCCTGTTTGTCTGGGTGTGTGTTTTGTGACGCCAGATCAATAAATTGCACTTCTTCTATTTCAAAAGCTCTTTAAAAATAACTTTCATGGTTAAAAAGACAATAAATTACTGGAAAGAATGTTTAAACAAAGTCTGAGAAACAGCCCATTGTATGCATACATATAGCTGCATTTTGTGAGCCAACGTTTCTATTAGCCTAACCCAGCTTAGGAGAAATAGAAGAGAAAATATTGCTGATATTGAACAGTAAGAAAAATCAATCTAAGGAGCTGAACTATAAATGTGCATACAGCACTGAATTCTCCTAGACGTTGGATGTTTACGCAGAGAGAAAATGCATTTTAAAAAGGGAAAATTCAGATCTTGGCCCACTCTGTATTGAATTTTCTTCCTATCACAGAAACATCTGGCCCTTTTAGATAATCTACTTTAGAAAGTTAATGGAAAAGTCAAATATGAATATGAAAAATGCATGAAAAGCCCAGTCCTTCTTAGTCATAATAATGAACTTTGGTCTCCCAACAAGCAATTGCATATTCTTGCTTTAACACAGTTTGGTGGGGCAGTTATTTTTCAAGAAGTAAACAAAAAAACAAAAACTGGGAATTGATGAGGTTCAGGTATCTTGGATTATGGGGTTTATGGAGAAAAGAAATGCATAGAATGATGATGTCTTCATTACATATCTGAAGGTTCAATAGGAGCCACATCTTTCAAGAGATGTCACACTCATCTGCCCTGAAAATAAGATGAGTGGGCAATAAAAGTCAAGACTTCTTGAAAAACAAGCAAACTGCATGGTGCATAGTCTAGCTTAGTCTTTAAGTGAATTGAGTTGGCATACATGTCCTCTAAGAGAATCAGACCAGTCTGGGCCACTTCAGGTTTTCGAAACTCCTAGCCATGAAATAAATAAAAATCATGATCCTTGAAAACAAGATAAGATACCCCAAAGGACTGAGACATAATTTAAATATATTTTATAGTTGAAAAATCAGCTCCATCCCTCCCCACAGCTTCTCATACAATTCACTGGTACTCCCCCAACTTGAATTCTTGCTCAGAAAATAATATGCCTGAATTCTTGCTCAAAATAATAATATTAGAAGGGAGGACATTCACCTGTGTGTCCAGATATCTAAAGACCATCCTTAAAATCTGCCCATGGTCCTCCCTTCAATGTGCTGCATTTTACTTGATTCTGAAATCTATAAAGCACCTTAGCACAAGGTCCCGCATTTTTCTTCAACTACCATCCTATAATCCAATGAATTAGAGATTACCTTTTTCCTTCCCCATGCTAGGTTTTTTTTTTCTCCCATTAGCAGTTTTAAATCATGGAAATATGCATACACTATACACATACACGCATAATGTCCCCCCCACACATATTTTGCACACTGTTGCAGGTGTAGGAAACTTATCTGGTGGGGGGAGTACATAATCCCTCATGCAGAAGCACAAGGGGAGTTGCACCTCGCCTTTCCCCCTTCAGGAAGAAGGTTGATGCACAGGCAAAAAATGACAAGGCAGTCTCTGATCATGTGCAGTTGTAGTTAGGTTTGCTCAAGGCCCTGTGGACTGGATATACCAGCTTTATAATCTGGAGAACATCTACAGGCCAGAGGTTCCTAAATTCTGCACTACTACACTTGAAAACAGTCTTGCGAGGAATCATCCTTTTTATGTAATTCGACTTCTGGTTTTTCTCTTGTACTTTTTAAAATTTAACATTAGTAACAATACAGAATTCAAAGAAAGATCACTTAAAAAAAATGAATTGGGACTTCACATACAGACACACCATAGGTGTCCAAAGTTGGCCACAATTACGTGAAAATGATGAGTCATGTGAATGACATCATCACACAAATGGTGCCACATGACATGACATTACAATGGCTGAGGCAAGCACTGATGTGTCATTCCCATTGTGATGTCATGATGCATGTGTCATCATTTGACCTTCTTGCTCTTCAGCTGCCTGTGATAATAATATGTGTTTATACCTATGTGTATCTGGGTGCATACACACAACTTGATCTTCAAAAGCTGCATCAGAGTGCACAGGAGTGGGAACATGGAACTTGCCCGTATCATGTTAAAGCAGTGTTTTTCAAACTTGGCAACTTTAAGATGCATGCTGGCCGGGGAATTCTGGGAGTTGAAGTCCACTTATCTTGAAGTTGCCAAGTTTGAAAAACCCTATGTTAAGGGAATTCCAGGAAAAGGAGCAGTGTTGCAGATCAATTATACATTTGCAGTCCTTGCGCTCCGGAGCACTTTGGGGAGACTGAATCAGAAGATATGTTGTATGCATACAGACAGATATATATGTATCTACATATGTGTGTGTGTGTGTGTGTGTGTGTGTGTGTATATATATATATAGGTAGGTAGGTAGGTAGGTAGGTAGGTAGGTAATTATTAGGACAAATAAGTCATTTTAGACTTCAGTATTTTACTTTATCAGAAATAAAGATAAAAGGGAATTTTTTTGTTATATAGCTAATAAATAGAGATCTAATTTGACTGAAGTTCTCTTTTATTGTATACTTTAAAAAAAATCTTTGTTGTATTTGTTATTTATTTTTGGCCAGAACAATTTTCCACTTGTTTAACTCTCCTGTGCTGTTTAATATAGACATGTTTCTCCACGTTAAGCATAATTGTTTAGGTCAGTGTTTCTCAAACTCAGCAACTTTAAGATGTATGGACTTCAATGCCCAGAATTCCCTAGCCAGCATGCTGGCTGGTGAATTCTAGGAGGTGAAGTCCCCACATCTGAAAGTTGCTGAGGTTGAGAAACACTGGTTTAGGTCATTAAATGTTGGCACGCTGTATACTTGGAAAAATTTCAGAAAAACAGAAGGGGCAGAATCAGTTTGAAATAGGGTCATTTCATCTAGAAAATATGGCAGTTGAATCCTCTGGATATGCAGAAAACTTGTGATGCAGACACTATGAGATATGGACTCTGTTGTTGCTGCTGTTAAATAAAATGGCCACTGAGAGACCTGTGGGAGGAAGCTTTGGATGGGTCTGTTTATGCTACGGCTCTTTTCCCCCTCCTTTAATTTGGAATTTGAATCCCCCCCCCCCCCCCCCCCC